TTTTTATTTTTTTACAGTATTGAGGATTCTGTCAAACATACTAGATAAGTGCTCTAGCACTGAGCTGTGTCCCCAGCTCTTTTTGTTTTGAGACAGAGTCATACTGAGTTGCTCAGGCTGGGCTCAAACTTGCAATCCTTCTGTCTCTGCCTCCAAAGTAGCTGTGGTTACAGGTGTGCACCACTGCACCCAGCAGTCAAAAATCTATTAATGAACATTTGGCAGTGGTGAGGCAGCTTCTTACACTGGAAAGAGACCTGAAGTCAGAAGACCTATATTCATGTCCTGGCTCTGGTTTTACTAACCTGAGCAAATCACTGCATTTCTCTGGGTATTTATTTTATCATCAGTTATATTAGGATAATACCTGCCTTGCTTTTCTTGCAGAACTTTGTGAGGGCTATCTGAGATAAGTGGCACTTCACAGTTGGCCATGGGTCCAATGGAATCACACTCCCAAGAGGTGTTCCTCCTTGAAAAGAGGTGGAGGGAGCCTACATGCTCTCTTCCTTGGAATTTTGTAGCGGACATATAGCATATAACAGAATTTGAGAAGTGTTACAGTAAATAAACTTATTTATCTAGTAATTTAATTGAGCTTACTTAAATCATGCTATGAGGTTTTTTTTCTCTTTCAAATATTACAGCTAATAGGAGCTGCTAGTATTCCCTGGGAAATTGTATTAAACACATGCATGTAAAGCCTCTTGTGGATAATGTTGCAAAAGATTAACCAGCTTTTGTACTGCAGTTTAACTTTTTGAATTTAGAAAATTCATTAAATGAGGGAATGAGCTGAGGCCAAGAGGATCTGCATTATTATACAAAGATTTTCCTTGTAATCACATTGACTTTAATGCAGTTAATTTTTTCTCACAATATCCAATGAATTAAAAAGTCTGTATTAGGGTCCTGATTTTATAAATCTAAGAATTAAAGACCAAAGATACCCAGCTGCCCAAAGGAATGCTCACATTGGCACTCAGGTCTCCTAGCTAAAGCAAGATGACAGTGTATCCAGTCTGCCCTGACTTCACAGTAGCAGATCTTATATGAAGGAGGTGAGTGTTACACAGACCTTTTAGGAAGCAGCCAGACTGATGTTTTGCAAAGCTGCCACACCTCCCAAAGGTCACAAGAAGAATTACTAACTGCTTCTTTATTTGCTTATTTTGCAGCCTGAGAAGTTTGCAAAGGTCTGTGAGGCACTGGAGAAAGGAGATGTGGAATGGACCAGCCGTGGTCCCCCTAACAAAAGGTAGAACCTGTCATCCAAGACATCTGCATCTGCATTCAGCTCACCTCCAATAATAATAGGGCATTTGCTATAATGACGTTTTGTTTCAAGGGGAGTCCAGTAGCAGGCCCCACCAAATCTCACCACTGTGAGAAACTGCTTTAGTAGACTGTGCCAAGATTTGGGGAAGACAGGTCAGAGCTAATGATCAGCATTTGTCCCATGAGTAATTTTACATTAGGGCTTGATGAACTTGGCATTGCTGCTTTTCAGGTTTTATGAGAAAGCTGAAGAGAGTCAGATCCCTGATACACTGAAGGACTGCATGGAGTTATTTCGTTCGGAGGCACTGTTCTTGCTGCTTTCCAACTTCACAGGCCTGAAGCTTCACTTCTTGGCCCCTTCAGAAGAAGATGAGATCAAGGACAAGACAGAGGGAGAAGCAGCCTGTGCGCCTGGTAGCACTGAAGAGGGAACTAGCCGTAGCTCCTCAGAGGATAATCAGACAGCCATCAGTAACAGCAGCCAACAGAGCAGTGAACAGATAGAATCAGCACCAGGGGAAGAAGCAGCAAAGAAAAGTAAGCTGGTGTTAGGATCTGTCCTTATTTACCTTTAACCGTTCACTGTACAATTACTCATTGAACAAATATTTCTTGAGTATCTACTATTGTGCTAAGCCCCATATTTCAGGAGTTGGAGAACAAAACAGACAAGGTTGTTGCTTTCCTGGAGCTTACATTTTAATGGGAAATGGAAATATACACACAGGCAAGAAAAAATATACATGCCATTGTAATAGGGTTACATGATAAGGAATGACTGAACAGGTGAGCAGGTGATCCAGAAAACATATATACACATATATTTACAATGGGATTAGGCCTCATATATTTTTCTGTAATCTTTTCCCACTTAGTATTTCCTAAACATTTTCCATCCTTTGTACTAACAGATTTGCACACTCTAGGAAGCCCTTGCCTCCCCCAACCAAAGCAGCTTTACGTATCTGTATTTGCTGTTCAACATTGCATTTTTGTCATTTCATATTTCATTTTAAGACAGTATTACACAGCTAATAGTTTTTTAAACCACTGTTTTGATCATTTTTATTGACTGCAGAATATCTCAGCAGATGACCTTAACCAGCCCCATGTTGGGTGTTTGGATTCTTTTCAAGTTTTTCACCATCATTGTTTCTTAGAACTGCACATGTTAATGGAGCTGAACTCAGAAGCTAAGCAGGTTCCTGCTGGTTAGTACTTGGGTTGGAGAAGGAAAGTGCAACATCAAAAACTGCATGTTTTTGCTTTTCAGTACTTGGGATTTTATTTTGAGAAGGATCTCACTAAGTCACTAAATTGTAGTGTGGGCTTAAACTTGTGATCCTGCTGCCTGAGCCTCTTAGAGTGCTAGGATTATAGATGTGCACCACCATGCCTGCAGACTGCTCAGAATTTTAAAGCAGTTGTCAAATTGGCTTCCCTAAAACTTATATCAGTCCGCCTTCCCACCAGCATTATATATAATGCTATCCTTCTTTCTGGCAAACTAATTATTATTGTGTTTCCTTTTCCAACTCTGCTTATTCTGTGGATGAAAATGTCACCTGCCGTTCAATGATTAATAGTGTATGGATATAAATTTTCCTTACATTTATTGGGTATTTGAGTTTCTTTTATTTGGACTTTTTGTCATTTTCTTACCTATTGTAAAAAAATGTTATTTATGGGACTATTAACCCTTTGTCCTATGTATTTTAATAGTTTGCTTTGTAACTTTGTTCCACATGGTTTAGCTTTTCTTTTAGTGGCGAGTGCTAGAGATTAAGCTGAGGGTCTCATGCTTGCTAGGCAAGTGTTCCCCACCTATAAACTTTACAAAATGGAATAGTAAACAGATCTATACACTGCCTTTCATGGTTTCTGCTTTCAGATTTCTCATGTTGAGAAATCTCTTCCCTTCTTCAAGATTAAATAATACCCAAGTTTTAAATTTTTACTTGTTTATTTTGCAGGTAATTCTTCACTTAAAATTTATTATGGAGAAATTGAAATTTAACTTTCTTTCCCCTCAAATAGACCTGATAACTTCTGACAATCATTTATAAGACTAGATGGTGGAAGTTAAAGGTTTACAAGAACAATTTCACAGTAGTTCCATATCATTGCTAATTATCATTTCTTCACCATATAGCATTTGTATCAGAGTTATCTTTAAAACTTACTGGCTTTTCTTCCACTGTTTTTTTCTTAGAGTCAAGTGTTCCCACCTGCCAGGGGGAACTGAGGCATTGGAGGACTGGTCACTACACTTTAATCCATGACAACAGCCAGACTGAATTTGCCCTGGACTTAGTTCTTTACTGTGGCTGTGAAGGTAAGAAGGACAGAAAGCAGTGAACTGTTTGCTTAGAGGAGCAGTATCTCCTGAGTGACTCTTTCCAGCTAAATGAACTCAACAGTGATTTTCTGTAGCCAAGATCTCTTATCTCAGGATCTTACAGTTCATGAATTCATGAATGTTGAGTGTCATGAGTTTCAGTCTCACGGCAGAATTTATATCTGACCTAGGAATGGGAGATGGACCGTACCATAATTCTTCCCCCAGCCGTCTTCTTCCACCCAAAACTTTCATGTAATTGTATTTCTGAGTGTATTTAACATTCAAATCTCAGTTTTCTCACTCAGTGTCAGGTGAAGTAAGATTGCATTCCAGTCATCTGTGGGAAATTAGGCCTTTAGGGGAAAGGGACTCTGTAATAACAGATGGTAAGCTCACAAGTCATAGAGCTGGTCACTGCTGAATCCCAGAACCCTCACTTTTCAGTGAGTGATGTAACTCTTGTGGCAAGAGCTCTCTGAGTACTGTTTTTTTTTTCTCTTGGTAGGTTGGGAGCCAGAGTATGGTGGCTTTACTTCCTATATTGCCAAAGGCGAAGATGAGGAGGTAAGGTGCTTCTTATAGAAATGCTCCCTTTTAGCTCATGAGAAGGCTTTTGTTCTTCAGAGACCCAATTTCTGTGACCTCTGCCAGTGTCTTTAGCTGATTAGTCTATGTTGTAATGCCTGGCAGTGGTTCTAATTTCTACAAGAAATACTCAGTACGGAATAAAGATGCTAAAGGATAATTACTAAGCATTTATTCTACCTTACTGAGAAATTACAAATTAAGAGGCTTGTGAATGCATTCCCACTAATCTTCTAATGTCATCAGAAATAAATAAAGGTATAACCTTTCTGGGTATTTGCTGATAGAATGGAGCTTGTTGGAAAATGTCTTGAAAACCAGAAAAAAGTGTTTCCTAATGAAAGCTCTTTCAAAGGATCCCTTAACCCCATCTTAAATACTTGCTATGGAAACTGTTCTGTAGTAAATCACTGAAGAGTTGAGAATGAGCTCTGTGTTGTGATGGGTCATTGTATTTGCCTTTTTCAGCTGCTAATAGTGAATCCAGAAAACAATTCTTTGGCATTGGTCTACAGAGACAGAGAGACTCTGAAGTTTGTCAAGCATATTAACCATCGAAGCCTAGAACAAAAGAAAACTTTCCCAAACAGAACTGGTTTCTGGGACTTTTCATTCGTCTATTATGAATAAGAGGACTGGCAAAGCTGAACAGAAGAGACCCCCTTGATCAGTACTAGGGGGTGTGGAAGAGCAAGGCGTGGAGAGCAGGAGAGCTGTATGGCAGGCTCTCCAACAGTGTTCTTAAAATGCTTGTCCTTTTAATCAGATTCATGATTGTCTTAGGCCTACACCTTGATCTTGAAGCTATGTACTCATCTCTTGATTTTCTTTTTTCCTGGTCCTGGGATTGAAGCCAGGGCTTCTTGTATGCTAGGCAATGTTTTACCACTGAGCTGCATCCCCAGCCCTTATTTTTAAAAAAGGTTTTTAATTCCTCTTTTTCTTTGAACATTGAGTTCAGTTTGCATATTGACTGCTTCAACAACTTTTTTCTAAGTTCAGTGATTTGTTTTCATTATTTGTGTTGCTGAAAGATAAAATTAGCAGCTTAACCATTTTTAAACATACAGTTCAATGGTATTGAGCACATTCATGTTGTACAACCATCACCACCATATCCTACACTTTTTCCATCTTCTGAAACTGAAACTATATAATAGTTCCCCACTGTCCCCTGCCCCTGTCCACTCTGTCTCTATTGACGACTCATGTTCCTCATCAGTAGAATCATACAGTATTTGTATACCCTATATATACTTTGTGATTGGCTTATTTCACTTAGCATACAGTACTCAAGGTTTGTAAGCGTTTCCTCATTTGGTGTTTCCTTTTCCTTATAAGTGATTCCAGAGTCTGTTCTTCTCAGTCGCACTGGTGTGGACAGTTATAGAACCTTAATCTGGTTTGTGTTGGGCCTTAGAGATGACCCAATTTGAGTCATTATACTCCCTCTCTCACTGCCTATAGGCTGCATTCCAGTGTGACTCTTCCAGGATGGGGTAAGACTTAGCTGATGTGTGATGTCACTCCCTGGAAAAGGTCTGGATAAAACCACATGGCCTCAAGAAACTTGGGGTTGGTAAAGAGGACAGGCTGCTCATTGCCCTATGGTCATCTCTAGCCACCCTGGAGCTTTGGCTTCTGAGTCTAGCCTCACACATGGCTTTCGTTTTCCTAAATGCTGCAGCTCTAACTATAGAACTAGTTGTCTCTTTTCCTTTAAGGGACCCAGTGCTCAACAGCCACATCAAAATGCCAACAGGCTGTCCATTTGTTCTATTTTTTTCCCTTCAAGTTGCTCCACAGGGCTCTGTCAGAACTAACCCATATATGGGGGTGTGTGTAGGTGGATAAAGATGGTGTTCTCACTCCATCCTATGCTCTTTGCTTCCTTTCTCTTTTTTCTGTTTCTTGATGCTGCAGTAGTTTTTAGTGTAGGTTATCTATTACTAATTAATAGGAAAACCATTAGGCCTTTAAACTTCAACCACTCTTCGTCTCCCAAAACTTGTTCATAAGTTTAAGAGAATGAGTTTCATTTTGTGTTTTAGGTTGATGGTTTTAAAAAAATTTTTTATTATATATCCCAATCAAGAAAACACATTTTAGCATGTATGCCTATTACGCTGTTTTACACATGTAATAATATTAGTTATAAAACAATATTGATGATCCTGACCCTGTGTAGACCTAAGCTAGTGTATTTATGTCTTAGTTTTTAACAAAAAAGTCTAAAAAGTAAAAATGAAAAAATTTTTTTAAAAATATATAGAAATAAGGATATAAAATAATTTTGTATAACTGTACAGTGTGTTTTAAGCTGTTAACTGTAAGTCAAAAAATTAAGCTTTGGAAGTTTATAAAGTTACAGTAAGTAAAACATATTGAAGAAGAAATGTAAAGATACTGTTTATAGCTGTACGGGTTTGGTACCCAAAGAAAAATTGGCTATGCTATACCATGTGGCCTGGGTGTGCAGTAGGCTATACCACCTATATTTGTGTGAGTACGTTGTATAGTGTTTACATAACAATGGAGTTGCCTCAGCTTATGACTATACTTCATTCTCCATCCTGATTACTTCTTAGGGTCTGGGGCAAATGTCAACAACTGTTAAGTGGCAAATGCATTAAAATACAGACATCTCTTTTATACTTCTTTCAGATAAAAGCTATGATGTTCATTTATATAATATATGGCATCTTTCCCTTAATAGTGAATTTCAAAATTCTTATAACTCCCTTTACTAAATGAAGTTCCCACCCTCAAAGAGAATAGCTTTGTTTTTTTTTTTCTTAGTACCAGGGATCGAACTAGGGTCCTTGCACTTGCGCAGCAGGCAGTGAAACCACTAAGCTAAATCCTCAGCCCGAGAATAGCTTTGTTTTTCAGAAGTCTCTCCTGTTTCTAGTCAGTGAACCACAACTTGTGCAAGATTTGAAGGGCCCAATGAACAGCTATTTGGTACCTCACACACAATGTTGCTCACCTTGTCAAGAATCAGCCTTTGGGCCCAACACTGTTTCACCTTCCCCTGGGTCTTCCTTCAGCATCTTTGATGAAGGGTCTCAGTTACCACAGGACAACCACACCAGGGTCAAAGGCAACAAGAACTAAGGCTTCACCCTGTCCTGGGCTCCAGCTCATGGCTATCGGTTCTAGCTGTTCTCCCCAACTTTACATCCTATCTCCCATGTGAACTTCAAGCTCTAGCATCTTATGGGGGGTCAGCAGCCCTACAGGGACTACATTACCTTCCTCCTGTGATTAAGTCAAATTCCTTTTATATGTTAACTACCATGGAAATTAGGTACACTTTTAGAAAGCTGATTTGTGAGCATATTTGCATTTTTAACGGGAAGAAAAAATGAGGATAACCCTATAAGTAAGTTAACAGGTTGTGGAAAATGAAGCCTAGAAGAAAAAAAAGGCTGTTAAGTTTTGAACCTCACTTCTCTATTGCCCAAAGTTTGCCTCGGAAACGTCACTGAATCTGGTTTTGTTTTCTTTTCCACAGAATACCAGAAAAATTCAAAGGTGGGGGCTATGTCTCCTAGGCCAGTATTTCTTCAAATTTTTGGCTGAGGTAACTCCCCAAAACTATTATGTACTTACCTCTGCAAAACCTGAGTGAGGAAATATCCTTTTTAAAGGATCCTTTCTAGAGCAGATCTAGTGAGGTGATACCACAGGGAGGCTGTGCAGCCTTCAAGGAGTGGGACATCCCTACAAAAACAGATGACCTCTCTGATGCAAAAACTCAACCACACAGGGGCTGGGGATTTAGCTCAGTGGTTCTGCTGCCTGCCTCACAAGTGCAAGGACCCAAGTTCAAGCCCCAGTACCAAAAAAACCCCTCAACCACACAGACAATGGAAAAGCTACTTGGGAGCTATCCGTGTGGCATCCTTTTTGGAAAAGCAGTTTTATAATGCACAAATAAAAAGATGATTCAGGAGCCAGAGCACATAGTGTGGGCAAAGGCCACATGGGAACGGCAAAATGCAAAATAAGGTGGTAATGGGTGCCTTATTGTACTTTAGCCTCAAAGTGAAATCAGAGATAATTTAGTTCTGTGATCACAGGACCGCAGCTGGCCAATTTGTAACTGCTAATTATAAAACTTGAAAAATTAATAACCATGTTGGAGATCATTTTTAAAAACACTTCTCAGTTGCATAATAGTTGTAAAGCACCAGTTCATTGATTTCTGAAGCTCCTGGCAGGTATACTGAGGACAGACAAGCCCATGGAGGGCAGCAGCTCAGCTTTGGCTCAAAACTAGTGAGGATGAAGACCTTGTTCTCACTAATAGGGGATTAAGAGTTGTACAAACAGAAGATGTTAAGGAATAGATGAGGGACAGGGAAGAGCTTCTATCTGAACTGAGCTTTGGTATTGGATAGGCAGACATAGTGGGAATAATAAAAACCATACTCTTTACAATACTGCATACCTGAATTTGGGTTGGGGGTATGTCTATGTGTGATTTTTTCCCCCAGTACCAGGAATCAAACTCAGGACTTTGTGCTTGCCAAGCAGGCGCGGTGCCACTGAGCTAAATCCCTGGCTCTGTGTAATTTTTTTTTAAGGGATGCTTTTAAAAAGTTTTCATCCATATACCAGAATCCTAAAAGCCACCTAAAGCTTCGATAAAAAAAATTCAACAACAAACTAGAGCTTAGCTACAACTGAAGTAGCACTCAGATTATATCAGTATAGGAAAACAGGGCAACAGACTAGAACTGTAACTGATTAACTCATTTCTAACCAGTCACTAAGATGAACATGACTTCTAAGGAGGAAAAGATGGTAGCTGAGTTTTATTAAGTATTTTCTTCCTATCCAGTCTACTTGCTTGGGAACAATTTGGACTAACTGGAAGGGGCATGACTACAGTACTAGGTTTCTAACCCTTCATACCACAACTTACCCAGTTCTTGGGATCCTGTACAGGACATTCTGCCTTCCTAAACAAGAGGGCTCATTCCTGAAATTCACATACTGTTATCAAGGAGATCGAGTTAATGTGAAAGCAACTTTTATAACCCTTCAGGGCTGCTTGCACATATCTTGCAGATCAACCTTTCCAGCCCTGCCACAAATATTTTGGGGTCAAAAGGAAGCTTTTTGGCTGAAGAACAATGGAGCAACCTATGCTGAGATTGTATTGGGTTCACTAAAGATGAATGGTACCATGTCATTTAAAACCAGCACCAACTAAGATTTCAGTCTCAAAAAAGTATAAACTAGGGCTGAGAATATAGCTCTGTGGTAGGGTGCTTGTTTAGCATGCATGAAACCCTGAATTCAATCCCCTGTAAATCTCCCCCAAACACACACAAAGCTATGTTAGGCTGTGGTTAAAACAGAAAACAAAACAAAAACACTCAAGCTTGAATTTGGTACTAATTCTGTGACACTGGAAAGTGGTTAATCTCTGCTTTTCCTTATCTTTGAGACAGATATAATACTACTACTTAAGGAATTGTAGAAAATAATATATATCTCCAGCTTATAAAATTGAAAAAGTTATTTTTGAAAGTTAGAGAAATTAGGACTCCAGAAAGGCTACACTTCAGATACAGGACAGAGGAATCCTAAGTGGCCAAGTTGAGGAGATAATAAAATTACTGTAGTTTCTAATCTCAAAGGAAAGGTCTCACTCCACCCGCAACTGCTTATGAATGCTATTTAAAATGTGAAAACTGACTTGTTTTAGGGATTTGGGCAGTCATGAAATCTACATTAGGGCAAAATTTAACCTCCTGGGCAGAGATTGCTGGCACATAGGGAGATGACATTTCCTGGTCTCCCTTGCAGGTTGGCCATGTTACCCAGAGCAATGGAAGCAGAGTGACAGTGTGCTATTTTCAGGCTGCAGCTTGAAACACAAGCAGACGTGCTTCCTCCTCACTCTTCCTTTTCTACTGGCTTGGATACATGTAACTGCCAGGCCCAACCCCCCACCTCCACCCCATCAGATAGGGCTCTAAGTGAGAGAACGGCTTCTGGCAATGCCAGAAGGCTTCCATTGTACACAATGAATGTGAACATAGTCACCTAACGCATTTTCCCTGTTTGTTTATATAATAAATTAAAAATAAATGAGTCATGAATTTGAGGATTGTTACAGCAGTTAACACTACCTCAACTAAGCTGATCACCCTAAACTGATTCTCCTTCAATATGAATTTGTTTACTCTCAGTTCTGGCTTGTGTCTAGATGTCTCCCTGAAGCTTCATACACTCATAGGCTGGCTAGATCAAGGGTATGTAGTACCGGGATTAAGGGGTTTTGGTACTAAATTAGTCCACTAAATGAGTTTAGTATAGTTCTGGGCATGGATAATGGAAGCCCCACACCCAGGCTTGTATCCTGGATGGAATATAAAGAAAGAGAGGGAAGGAAGGCTGCTGCTGCTGCTTGCTGCTTGTGCTGCTTTCTGCCAGCCACACTATGGACTGTTTCTCCTCTGCAATGCCCCTCTTCCACACTGTTCTGCCTTGGAACCGGCCAACTATGAACTGAAACTTCTACAAACTGTGAGCCCCCTTCAACTTGTGAGTGTCATATTTTCTCTGAGCAACAAGAAAAGTAACTAAGACATACCTTTCAGTGGTTAAAAGGAAGGCACACAAATTGAATAACTACGATTTTGTTTTTCTTTACAAAATACAAATGGTTTATGCAATTCTGCTATTGTAGTGCTTTTATAATCAGTCAACACCAAAGTATAATACCTTTTAATTTTAATGAAAAAGGTAGTCTATTTGAAAATTATGAATTTAATTACAATTTCATTGTAATTTATACATTGACTTTACATATATAAACAAAAAAATAAAAAGTGGTTTTATTTTTCAGATGTAATGTTTTATCTTTAATTTGTGCAGATCACCAAGGTTTTTTTTTTTTCATTCTTAGCGCTCTGAGTTCACCAGGACATGATCCAGAGCAACTGAACCTAGATTTTTATGAGAAAACTTTTCCCAAGAAGTTGCTTTCCTATTTACTCTTCTATGAAGGAGCTGTCCCCACCCGCATAATTCTGAACAGTGTGTTGATGTTGTTGCTTCGAATTGCATCCCGACAAGCAGTTATCACCTGGTTCTTTGGTTTTCCAACTGTATAAGAAGAAATACCTGGTCAGTATGTCCCAAAAAGAATATTAAAAGTAAAATTATATCAGCACTTGGAAGGCTGAGGTAGGAAGATCGCCACGAGTTTAAAGCCAGCCTGTGCTACATAGGGAGTTCAAGGACAGCCTAAACTACATAGTGAGACTCTGTCTCAAGAAAACCAAGAAAAAAAAGGAAGAAAATAAAAGTAAAATTATAAATTAGAGTCTAGTTTTAAAACAATATAAAACTAGGTTAGAAAATAATTACATATGTAAATTTTACTAATTTATCTTACCACTCCCTAAAAGAGGTAACTTGGTAAAGAAATTTATCATAAACTTCAAACCTAGAAACCAATCAAAACTCACATTCATCTAGCAGTGATTATATCTAAAAAGGTTAAAGCATTGACCCAAAACAGCAGAATTCAGATAACAATCTACCTATATTTTTTCCTCCTTTGGTTTAATGTTCTTTTTCTAAACTTTTAAGGTGGACTCAACACATTAGTTTTCAGTGTGTCTTTTATTCTAATGGAGACTTTAAAGCTCTACACTTCTTTGAGGTATAAACATTAGGTTTTTCCTTAGAAGATGCATGAAGATCTTAGAAAAGAAGCTGAAGGTTTTTGCTTTTTCTTTCTCTTTTTATTATTTTGATTTGTTTTTTGAGATGGTCTTGCTATATATAGTAGTTCAGGCTGGACTTGAACTCACTGTGTAGCCCAGGCTGGCCTCAAACTCACAGTACTCCTGCCTCAGCCTCCAGAGTGTTGGGATTATAGGCATGCACCATCACACCTAGCTAGAAGCTAAAGGTGCTCTTTCCCTTTGAAGTCTGAAGATTGAAGCTAAACAGTAGGCTGACTGATGGAATCTTAAGTGATGGGGCCAACTTTGGAGTGATTAGGCCCCAACATGAATTATGGAATCTACCATCATCTTTAGCGGTCCTCTCCCAAAAAATTACAGAAAAGAGACTTACCACGCAGACGACCTGCCCGTTGAATTGCCTGATTTACTGCTTTAAGGTTTCCTAATAGTTCTGTGTGATTGTTACAGCGAATTTTATATCCATTTAGCAAGTCTTTATTAAGGTTATAGAGTTCCATATAGCGATTCTTCATTGTTTTCCTGTGTAAACCAACAAATTTACCATCATTGTTTCTTTCTTTTTTTGGTACCAGGGATCCAACTCAGGACCTTGTGCTTGCCAGGTGGGCACAGCAACACTGAGCTACATCCCTGGTCCAGCATCATTGTTGCTTAATATGTAAGGCTTAAGAAAATCTGCAAACTTCTTAGGCATATTTTTAAAAAGAGAAAAGACATTTTTAGCTCTGTTTTCATTAAAATTAGGTAACTACTAAAGTTTTCCTTGAAAACATTAATAAGTTTCCATCAAAATATCCTAATAAATAAATAGAAGTCAAGTGGCCTTTCTTGGTGATTGGTCCCTGGTTGGTTTGACTTTAGAAACTTAAGAATTACAAGCCCACTGTGTTGAGGCTAGGTAATAAGACTGTCAAGTTTCACATTAATATTCATTAGATAAAACTGACCTATTCTTTTTTTTTTTTTGGTACCGGGGACCAAACTCGGATCCTTGCGCTTGCAAGGCAGGCGACAGAACAACTGAGCTAAATCCCCAGCTAAACTGACCTATTCTTAATGAATATTTTTTATCAAGATATTTTTGGGCTGGGGATTTAGCTCAGTGGTTTTGCCGCCTGCTGCACAAATGCAAGGACCTGAGTTTGATCCCTGGTACCAAAAAAAAAGAAGATATTTTTAAAAGCAAAAGATAAAACCACAATGAAATATTATTACCCAATAACAAAAGTGTTTAAATTTTTTAAAAACTGAAAATATTGTGCTGGCAACAATGCAGAGCAACTGGAACCCTCATACACTGCTGACAAGAATAAAAAATAATACAGTTATTTTGGTAACTTATTTGGCAGTTTCTTACAGTTAAACATACTACATAACCTAGCAATCCCAGCCCAAGAGAAATGAAAATACATGTTTGCAAAAAACCTTTATCCACAATCACTGAGGTCTAGAAACATCCCAAATGTCTATCACATGATGAAAAGATAAATTACTTCCCATCTATACAATGGAATATTATTCAGTAATTTTTAAAAATGGACTGATACAGTACATGCAACAACATGAATGAGCCTCAAAGGCATTATGGTAAGTGAAAGAAGCCAGACTCAAAGCCTATATATTATATGACTCCCTTTATACGACATTCTGAAAAATGTAAAACTATAGGGGAAGAAAATAGCCTCAGGAGCTTAGGAGAGGTGAAAGCACAAAAGTGATAAAACCATTTTAAGTCTTGATGGTAGTAACAGAACTGAATAAGTTTCTCAAAATTTAGTGAATGGTAAACCTAAAAAAGAATGAATTTTCCGTACATATTAACAAAATTGACATTAAAAATAATAACAAATATATACATTAGAACCTCTAAGAAAAATATAAATAATTCCAGAAGGAACTTAGAGGCTGGTGGTCATGTTGTGCAGAGTCAAATGCTTAAAGCCAGCAACATCACTTTGACTTTAAAGAAAGAAAAAGAGAGAGAAACTAGAAGACCTAGAGCTAGTTGGCCAGAGAAAGCATACATCTATTTCAATTTATAGATGATAAAAGTACACATGTGTTAGGGTTTATGTCTAGATGTCCCTCAAGAAGGGCCGGGGATTTAGCTCAGTGGTTCCACTGCCTACCTCAAAAGTGCAAGGTCCCGAGTTTGATCTCCGGTACCAAAAAAAAAAATGTAGATGTCCCTCAAGAGCCTCATGCACTCATAGGCAGGGTTTTTGGAAGGCGACTGGATTGCAGGAATGCTACAGCTGGTTTGGTGTTAGGAGGCCGGGCCTGTTAGAGGCAAGTCACTGGGGGTGTGACCTGGAAGCCCCTTCTGGACTCTCTCCCTGCTTCTTGACCACCAGGATTTGAACAGCTTTTACTCCACGATGCCCCTCTGCCATGCTGTCCTGCCTTGGAGTCACCTGATCATGGACTGAAAACATGAGCCAAAATAAACCTCTTAAGTTGTGGGTGTCAAGTACTGTGTCTCAAAAATGAGAAAAGTGAATAAGACAGCATCTGAAAAAAACTATAGTTGGGTAGCATAAAATCAACATGTAAAAATCAATAATTTAAATACACAAAACCATACTTATATAAGATGAAATGGGGAAGAAAGATAATATTTACAATTATAAAAAAAGAACCGAAACTACCTAGCCTTAAACTTAGCATAGGGAAAATGTGGGTTTTTTTATAAAATGGAGTACTACTCAGCCATAAAGAACGAAAAACTAGAGTCATTTATAGCTAAATGGATGCATATCAGGCCATACTCTTAAGTGAAATAAATAGGACACACGTGTAAATACCGAATAGTTTCACTAGTGTGAGAAACTGATAGTATAAACAAGAGTTAAAATGATTAAAATGAATAATTGATAATTTGAAATAGGAAAAAAGGTCCAAAGATGAAGCAGTGAAGGGAGGGGAAGGGGAAAGGAAAAGAGGGAAAGGAAAAACTATGAGAAAAGAAAAAAAAAATGGAAATGAAATCTATGTAAATAGGGAAGGGTGGAGGGGGTGAAGGGCACACAGGTAATGGGGAAAAAAATAAGAACCAAGATATATCATGTACAGGTACAAACACCCAATGATAAATGTAAACGAACTGTATACCTAAAGTGTACCAATAAAATTAATTTAAAAAAAAACAGCATAGGAAAAAAAGCCTACAAGAATTAAAGAAGAAACAAAGAACAAAAAACATTTCTGCATGAAGAAAACCATGACGCATTCCTACTGATCAAACATTAACAAGTACTGCCAGATGTTCTAAACTAACAAAACATCATTGTAATGTCAGTTTCTCCTAAATTAATATATTTAACAAAATTCCTGTAAAAAATACCTACCTTTCTCTCTGAAGCCTCAAAAATTGAAGTTTACTGGAAAGAACAAATACAAGTAGCAAGGAAAACTATTAAAAAAGAGAGAAATGGGGAAGGGAGGAAGGGCATCTAGCCATGCCACATAGTCAAATACACAAAATATCTATAAATTAAAAAATGGGCCAGGAGTGTTGGTGCCTGTCTATATTCCCAGCTACTCAGGAAATAGAAGCAGGAGGATCACAAACTTGAGGCCATCCCAGACAACTTAGTGAAACCCTTTCCCAAATAGTGATGGGAGTATAGCTCAGTGGTACAGCACTTGCCTAGCATATGAAAGGCCCCGTGTCAAATCCCTAGTACCTCTGAAAAAGGAATGATACTGTCACAGCGGTTATCAGGGACTGAACAGAATGGGAAATTACCATTTAATGGGTATGGAGTTTTAGGTTTACAATATGAGGAGAGGGAGACAGATGGTGCTCATTGCTGTACAACATTATGAGTACAGTTAGTAACACTACTGTACACTATAAATGGTTAATATGGTAAATTCCGTTATGTGTATTGTACCACAATACAAAATATTTTAAAATATAACAATGGTATTGTCAAATGATGAACCAAGATAGACCAATGGAGTAGTATAGAAAATCCAGCATGAGGCTGTGTGGCCACCCAGGCCCATAATCCTGGCACCCAGTAGGCTAAATCAGTCAGATTATGAGTTTGAGACCAGCCTGGGCTACAAAGCAAGACCTTGTCTCACAAACAGACAGAAGGCCAGGGATTTGGCTCAGTGGTTCTCCTGCCTGCCTCACAAGCACAAGGACCTGAGTTCGATCCCCAGTACCAAAACAAAAACAACAACAATAACAACAACAACAAAAATGGACAGAAGGACAGAAAGAAGGAAATCCAGAAACAGATCCAACTGCGAATGCAAATATGATATACAATAAAAGCAGTGTCTGAAATCAGTGGGGAAACAATGGACTTATTAAAAAATAGTACTGGGTTGGGGATGTAGCTAAGTGGTACAGTGCTTGCCTAGACTATATGAGGTTCTGGGTTCAATACCCAGCAGCAAAAAAAAAAAAGGTACTGAAATAATGCAACAGTCATATGGAAAGATATAAAACTGAATTTACTATTTACATCCATCAAACAGCAGAATAAAGTCCAGAAAAAGCTGGAAAAGACTTACATGTAAAAAAGGAAAGCATGCAAGTACTAAAAGAAAATCGATAAATTATAACTTGAGGTGAAGAAAACTTCTCTTAACCATAACTCAAAAATATGGATATATTAAGGAAATGAACGATCAACTTGACTACATTAAATTTCTAAAAAGATTTTAGAAATAAAAAGTGAAACAAATTTTTTAAAAGTCTAAACAAAGAGAACAAAACAGGAAAAATATTTGCAACTCATATCACAGATAAAAGACCAATATACTTAAATATATAAATAGGCAAAAGAAATAAAGTTCATACACATAAAAATGCAAATGGTTGCCAGGGATTTAGCTCAGTGGTTCCAGTGCCTGCCTCACAAGTGCAAGGATATGAGTTCGATCCCTGGTACCAAAAAAAAAAGAAAAATGCAAATGGCTAGCCTGCTGTGGTGGCACATGCCTGTAATCCCAGCACTCAAGAGGCTAAGGCAGGAGGATTGCCACGAGTTTGAGGGTGGCCTGGGCTACACAGTGAATTCAAAGCCAGCCTGGAATACATAGCGACACTTTGTCTCAAAAAACAAAGTTCAGCACCTGCCTTGCAAGCGCAAGGTCCCAAGTTCAATCCCTGGTACCAAAAAAAAAACCACACACACAACGAAACAAAAACAAAAACAAAACACAAATGGACATTAAAACGAAAAGATTATCAGCACTGCTCATAATAAATGACTCTCCTACAACTCAAGAGCAAAAAACAAACCCCAGTGAAAGAGTTTTGTTTTTAAAATGGGCTAGAGATTCAACAATTTCTCATTCGACATTTCTCCAAAGAAGACACACAAATTACAAACAGGTATAGTATATGAAAAGATGCCCAACACCAGTAGTCAATAAGGAAATGCAAATGAAAACCATGATGGAAAATCATTTCACACGTTAGGACAGTGATGGCGAACCTTTTAGAGACCAAGCGCCCAAACTCCAATCCAAAACTCATTTATCGCAAAGTGCCAACACTGCAATTAAACCTGAATACTGAGGTTTTAGTTTAGAAAAAAAAACTTATACATTAACATCTTTTGTCTTAAAAGAAAGACACGGGCTGGGGATTTAGCTCAGTGGCACTGCTGCCTGCCTCGCAAGCGCAAGGTTCTGAGTTCGATCCCTGGTACCAAAAAAAAAAAAAAAGAAGAAGAAAAACACAATAACAGATCTTTCAATGATACAGACAGCTTTTTATTGAAAGGTAAAAGTTTACATTTGTTGTGCTTCTGCACAATTAATGTGATCTTTGCTGTTGTATGCATGCTGATAATTTGTCAAACCTTGGCTGGGGCAACTAGGTGCCTGTGCCAACAGAAGAGGCTGTGTGTGCCCACTGCGGCATGCATGCCATAGGTTTATCAACACTGTGTTAGGATGACAATTACCAAAAAAAAAAAAGACAGGGTTGGGGTGTTGCTCACTGGTCAAGTACTTGCCTAGCATGTGTGAGGTCCTGGGTTTGACGCCCAGTAGAAAAAGGACATGTATTAGTGAGGATGTGGAGAAATTGGAACCCCTGGAAAACAATGGAAGTGAATAAAAAAATTAAAAATTGAAATATTATATGATGCAGCATCCCACTTCTGGACAACTTAGTGAAACCCTATCTCAAATCCTGGGTATATATACAGAAGAACTGTAATCAGGATATTTAAGACATAGCACTCCAGTGTTCACTACAGCTTACAACAGCTAAGATATGAAAACCACCATGGACAGAAGCTAAATGTGCACATGACTGCCTTTAACTTTCTTATCAGATAATGTTTCACTCAGAAAAACGTATACAACAAATGCTCTACTCCAGAAGATTGCCAGTGTGTTCTTCCTAAACACTGTTCCTCCTCCCTAGAATACTATAGTATACAATAATCTCTTCCCTGCACATTTTGCTTGTGTATTAGTCAGCTTTTTCATCACTGAGACACAATACCCCACATCTACAACTTAAATAAGAAGAGGTTTATTGGGCTCTCAGTTTTCCACTGGTTCAGGCTATTGCTGCCTGGCTCCAAGGCAGAAACAGCATGGTGCAAATGCATGGTGGAGAAGAGCTGCTCAACTTACAGCAGGCAGGAAGTAGAGAGAGAAGGGAGGAGCCAGGGACAAGAATGCACCCTTCCAGGTCATCAGTGATGCATCTCTAGCCAGATCTCACCTCCTAACAGCACATTCAGCCTTGAATTTATCAGTGCATTAATCCACTGATGAGTACAGTGCCCCCATTATCCAGGCACTTTCTAAACATCCCACCTCTAAATACATGTGGCCTTGGGGGAACGTTTTAGATCTAAACCATAACATTTCATCTCTTTGCAGTGTTAAAAACCTAACTCAGGGTCCTTGCAACATGCTAGGCCAGTGCTCCACCTCTGAGGCACATCCCCAGTTTATATTTACAGTTTTATATTCATATCTGCTTCCCAAAGAAGAGTTTGGTTTTGCCTTTTTTTCAAACAATGTAAGTAGGAGCATGCTATACATCTTCACTAAGTCTTCCTTCAGTCACCAATATTTGTAAGATTTGTTCATATTGTCACGTGTCATGGAGATTCACACACACTCTTTGTTCTATTGGGCAAATTATATTGTATTTACCCACTGTAGTGGCACATTGGTTTGGATCATTTCCACTTTGGGATTTGCTATGGTTTGGATACAGTTTAAGTGTGTCCTCCACCAAAGGTTTATGTTGGAAACTTGGTCCCTAGGGTGACCATGTTAAGAGATGGTGGACCTTTAAGAGGTTACTAATACAAGGTCATTAGGTCACTAGAGGCACTGCCCTCAGAATGATCATGGGATCCTGGTTAGTTCTCTCACAATGGTTTTTATAAAAGAGTAAGACTGGCTCCTCCCTGTTCTCTGGGCTTCCTGTCTCACCAGATCTCTCTTGCATATGCTCCTGCAATTATGCCATCAGCCATTAGACAACACAGCCAGGGAGCCTCACCAGAGCTAGTGTCAGGCTATCTGGACTTTCAGCATCCAAAATTGTGATAAACCTATTTCTTTATCCAGTACCCTGCCTCAGGTATTTTATTATACTGATGGGAAACAAACTAATACAGAATTCTTATAAGCAATCCCTTTATGAATATTCTCTTTTTCACTCCTGAGTATTGAACCTAGAGCCTCATGCATGGGAGGCAACTGCTGAGTTACATACTCAGTTCCTTTATGAAGACTCTTGTGCAAAAATCCTGGTTTATAAGTTCACAAGTTTTTCTAGGCTATATACCTGTATATTAGGAGCAGAATTGCTAGGTCACAGGGTATACATATTTTCAACTTACTGATGATGCCATGTTATTTTCCAAAGTCATTATACCAATTTAGACTTCTTCTGAGAGTTGCTACTCACATGTCCCTCATCAAGCGAGCATCCTCAGCTTGGACCAACAAACTTCGGATTACATTAGAATTATCAGCCATTTCAGCACTGAGCTTCTGATGCACTGAATGATAGTCATCCACCTGGAGACGATGAACATTCAGGAATTAAAAAGGCCTCACAAACTTCTTCAAAACTAGCCTAAGATTCTCTCTAAAACATATAGAGGTTTCTTTGTCCTATTCACTTATACCATCTTACTATTATTCACAATTGGAATAATACTTCTGATTATTTCATCTCTTCTTCAACAAAATAGTCTATGCTGCCTCCAAGGATGACACTCCATATGAATCCTTCCCATCTCTTTACATTATATAGCAATATACATACTAACATTTTAAAGATATGGATTGAGCCAGGTGTGGTGGCACACATCTGTAATCCCAGCACTTGGGAGGCTGAGACAGGAGGATCACCACAAGTTTGAGGCCAGCCTGGGCTACACAGTGAGTTCAAGGCCAGCCAAACTACACAGCAAAACCCTGTCTCAAAAAAGAAAATCTGGATTGAGAATGATGTTATACTTGTAAGTCAAGCATAATCCTCCTTATTTTGCTTTTTCTTTAATTTTTAATTTTGGTTTTTGAAAAGCTATAAATGGAAGACCAAAATAAATATAATAGATAATATGAAGGTCTAGCAAAGGAAAATATTAATATGACACATATTTTTAAAAGTGTTCCCCTAAACCAAAGGAAGAAAGTAGGGTGGTCAAGAGATTACCACTCACTTTTATAGGAGAAAACCTTTAACTAGTAAACTCTCTAATACTAGTTCCATGTTTTACAAAAATCCTTTAGAACATGAGCACATTCATCTCCTTTTGTGTGTGTGTGTGTATGTGGTACTGAGGGCTGACCCCAGGGGCTTCACACTGAGCTACAGTTCTAGTCCTTCTTTTTTTTCTTCATTTTGAGCCGGGGCTCACTAAGTCACTAAGTTGACCACACTTGGGGCTTGAACTTTTGACCCCCCTGCCTCAGCTTTCCCAGAGCTCATTCATCTCCCAAAATAAATATTTCAGACTATGAGACTACTACGGTTTCAGAAAAGCAACAACTAGGTACCCTCACCTTAATCAGCACTTTTCGTAACTCCTCAAAGTAGATAGGAAAATCTGCTTCTACATGAAGGTCTTCAATAGCAAAAAATGATGCCATTGACTGGATGATGTCACCAGCCAAATCAATATCATCAGTATTTATAGTAATCTATCCAGGAAAACAACAGGCAAGGTTAGCATTCTCAGATCAGAGATAAAGTCAGTCAGAGACAATGAATTTCTTCATTGTCAACACAATTACTGAGCATATTTTTATATACAGTGATGAATGAGTAAGGTGTAACCCTTTAGGAAATTACAAACCACATGCATTATTTCCTGCACATGACTAAAATGTCAATCTATTAGCCTTATGAACTAAATGGCACAATTATTCAAATAATAAAAATGTTTTTATGCACCTTGGTAATCCCACCCCTTCCCAAATTATAGGAAAGAGTGAAGGAAGGAGAAAGGCAGAAACTACCCTTGCAGCTTATACTCCAGCGTCTATAACAACAACAACAAAGTGGAAATGATGGTTTGCAGACCTTCACACTGATGTCACCCACCTCACTTTCCACTGAATGGTTAAACTGCACGTGAGAAGACTATGGCTACCCCATGATGGTAACACTTTTTTCCTTTCCTTTTTTATTTTTTCCTGATGCTGGAGATGGAACACAGGGCCTCATACACACTAGCCAAGCACTCTACCACTGGGCTACACCCCCCACCTGCCCCAAGACATTAAACATTACCTCTCCACTAAGTTTTATTTTTATGCAGAGGTGGCCACCATTCCGTAATGATGTGAAACATGCTTGAAATGGAACATTCTGAATATTGGTGTCTTCTGGTAACAGAAAGTTCTGGTTGAGCCACAGAACAATCTTAAAAATAATAGAATTAAAGAGAACTTCAGTTTTTAATGTACAGTTGTTACAGAAGGAAGACTTTTTCCCTCTCTAGTTTTACTGCTTGGTTTAAAAAAATGTGTACTTCATCCCCCACTAAGAAAACAATAGTCACACTCCCTTTTCCCTTCTCATACATGTTCTCAAGTAACACTCAGAATTATGTCTAGCCCCACAGCAGGCATGACTTTACAGTATTTTCTACTAACAATACTCTCACTGTAATGTAGAAAAAATTGAGGTTCAGTGCTAATTCTGTTCACAAAACAGCTATTCTGTGGGTGTATCCCTGGACATCACTGTCTGCTTAAAACTAATTGATTCTATTTTTTAAAGTTTTAAATGAAATATTCATGCACACACCACAAAGATATTTCCACACAGTAAGTTTCAATGTTAGCAATAACACTTTACAATGGTTTGCAACACGGGTTCCACATAAGAATCACTCATGAGGCTGTCTGGGAAGGTCCACCTATGAACCTTCTGGTTCCATAGGCCAGGCAGGGGTCCGAGAATCTATGCAATTACAAAGCCTTCTCAAGAATACTGAAGCCAAGCCAAGGTTAAATCCACTGATATTAGTCCTTTAGACTTTACACAGTACTGTCACATCCATCACATAAACCTCAGGGGCCTTTTACAATGTGGGCAACACTATCCTCACTTATCAATAAGGAAACTGAAGCTCAGAACAGAATACTCCAAGATTACTAAGAATTTATTTACTTAGGATAAAACTTGAACCTAAAATGCCTTTGCAGACCCAAGTCCTACTCTCTCTCCATCTTTATTTTTTTCTTCAATAGACAAAGTTTCACTATGTTGCCCAGGCTGGCCCTGAATGCCTGGGCTCAAGCAACCCTCCTGCCTCAGCCTCACAAGTAGCTAGGACTACAGGCATACGCCACTGCATCCAGCTTCTCTTTCCATCTTGATGTAGGTTCCTCTTGAAATACTAAATCAAGACATACTAAGACTATAACAAAAGAAGGAAAAGAATTAAGAAACTGGTCCAAATTCACGGGAAATTAAGAATTGCTCAGATAAACAATGTGTGTATTTTTTCAAAATAAAAGAAGATACATCACCAAAAGTACTTAAAGAAAAGAGCATGCTACTCACCCTCTGTGCCCGTTCTGTTATGATGAAGTTAACATAACTGAGGGGCTCACTGGCAGAGATTGGGCTGGTCAGCGCATACATGGAGAATCGGGGCAGCTGTCTTGTCAACTCAAATACATGGAACTGGGTGCTAGGGCCAACCAATGGGACACAAGAGAAGTGTTTGGTATAATGTCATTTCAAAAAGCAAGGCCCTGGTCGGGGAGTGGGGACAGGCCAAAAAAAAAACAAGGCCTCAAAACTAAAATCACTACTAGATCATCATCAATTGATATTTAAGGGCTTCAATCCCCAAAATACTTGAGGGCTAATGTACTATAGAAGTGGGATTTGGGAATTAGAGATCATGAGCATACAAATACACATGCATACACTAGGGCTTTCAAGCACCCTAAGATGGAGATGGAAAGACTATTACTTTCCACAAATGTAGTGGTTTCTCTTTACCAGCTGAAATGATATATAACCCTAATATCCAGGTACACCCCAACTCTTTCAGTCTTAGTCCCCAAAACTCTAAGTTGACAAATCATTAATTAAACTCTTCCTGGGCGTGCAGGGCTGGGGATCAAACCCAGGACTTGGCACATGCTAAGTACACAGTCTTCCATAGACCTACATCCCTAATCCCAATTAAACATATTTTTGTGACCCTGAGGTCATCTGATTGAAACAGAAAATAACCATTTTAAATTTACGTATTCATCCTCACTATTTTTTTTCAAATTAGGGAAGTTAAAGGCTTGGGAAACCTCTACTGGAGGGCAGAACCACTCAGTGGTGTCTCTGGCCCCACAGATTGCATGCACAATGGAAAACAAGTGCTCGATGGAAATGAACTTGTAAAGGATCACCTGCTTCTGTAACCCACAAGGGCTTTCAAGTGCAGATCGACAGGGACATCTTTGGGTGGTATAATTGGGACACAGATAGAGCTGGAGAGGTTGTGAACACTGGGATGTACCACGTGGCTTTCACCTACAAAAATTCCCTCTGCAAAAATCAATACTGCTCGAATGATGGTGTCTACAGGGAAGAAGAAAAAGGCAATTCAGTAAGTTCTCCAAGATGGCACAGGCACCTAAACTCCTGCTATAAATAATGTCTTACCATTTGAAGTGGAAATGCACAACTCTGTGTGTGCAGCTTGAGTCTCGCTTCCCAGGTTGACTGTGAGGATAGTGTGAAGCCTGGTATTGGCTGGTATTACATCCCTTTGCCTGTCAGCCTCATTCAATGGGCCACTCAATTCAGCCTGCAAAACACCCCACCCACTTCAACTCATTCACCAAAATGCTGAACATTATAACTCTCATTTTAAATAATCTGGCTGTTCAGTTCCATAAGAAAAACTCCCTATCTTTTTTTTTCCTTTTGGAAGTATTAGGGATTGAACCCAGGGCCTCCAGCATGTTAGTCAAGGACTCTACCTCTGAGCTACATCCCCAGCTTTTTTCTTTTTTTTTTTTTTAATTTTTGAGGCAGAACTTGCTACCTTGGCCATAAACTTACAACCCTCCTGTCTCAGCTTCCTGCCTAGCACTGACTCTGTAACTCTTCTTCCACATTTGCCAATCTTCCTGGTCAGTTTCAACATTTCTGATTCTATTTCTCCTTCATATTAGGCCCTACCTTGGCGTTTTCCTCATAGTTACGGAGTTCCAGTAACAGATTCTGCTTTTTCTGACTCAGTTCTCGGATCAGGTCCTGCTCCATACTGGTATCCATGAGGCTTCCCCTTGTCTCAGCTGTGCCTGGCAGGTAACCCCGGACTGAAAAGAGAGGAAAAAATACTCACTTGATTGAGGAACATCCCAAAGATGGCCGTACCTACTTTCAGGATATCAATTACTTGTTTTTAAAAGCCAAAAATTTAAATTCTCATCCTTCCAACTTAGGTAAATTTATTATAACTAGGGAGCCTCAACACAATATCTTTTTTTTTTTTTTTTGGTACCGGGGATAGAACTTGGGTCCTTGCACTTGCGAGGCAGGCAGCGGAACCACTGAGCTAAATCCCTGGCCCCTCAACACAATATCTTATAGTGGAATTTCCTGGCATCTTGACCCAATGAGATTGAAAATTTGACTTTCAAGGATTTTTCTCAACCCAACTTACCTTCCCCATCCACTGAGCAGCAGATTAGCTGTATGTGGCCATCCATTCGGTAATCTCCCTCTACCACACCAGCAATTGCAGAAGAAAAGTTGTCTTTAAAGATGACCTCCCCAGTTCGGTCACTTCGGGCATCAACCTAAAAATAAAACACGAACATAAAAAATCACTTCAGCTACACTTTGAAAACAACATCACCACAAAATTTTAAAATAAAAATCAGCTTTCTAAGTCATTTAGTCTAGTAGAGTACTCCATGAAGCCTAACTTCTCTGGAGATACCTATGACTGCTATGGCCAGGGGGACCAAATGGGGCCTCAAACCAGCTTTGCTTCCTTCTTTTTCAGTGAAAGTTGTTTTATGTACTGGCCCTCAAACAATGTTTCATTTGAAAACTGGGTCTTCTGAGAAGCAGTTCATACAGTACATACAACATGGCACAAAAGGGCGTGGGCTCCAAGGCCAAACTGCCTGGGTCCACAATCCATCTGTGCCATGTACTATGGGATCTTGGGTGAGTTTCTTAACCATTCTCTACTTGTTCTTATCTGGGCATCAATAGCAAGAATATAGGGAAAATAATAGTACCTACACCTCACAGGGCTGTAACGAGGCCTAAAAGAGTTAATACATGAGAAATACTTTGAATAGGACCTAACACAGAGAGATACACAACAAATGTTAGTGCCATATAAAATTAATCTCTTATGATATATAAATGTATAAAATATAGTTAAAGCTAAAGTCTAAACAATGCCCAACTAGCCCAATCTTCCACCATACTGCATTTTACAATAACCCTGTCAAGAGCCCTCTTTCACATAAAAACTATTCAGAGTTCTTAGAAAGCTCTCAAGTCTTCTCTTCCCAGGAGATAACACAAATAAGTAACTGGCTGATTGGAAGCAAATGCGTCTGAAAAATAATAATGAGCTGACAATGGTGGTACATGCTTGTAATCCCAGCACTCAGGAGTTCACAAGTTCAAGGCCAGCCCGGACAACAAAGGAAGACCTGGTCTTCAAAAAAAAAAAATTTATTTCATATGCATCTCTGAAACAACATGAAATTTTCACTTACTTGAAATAATGATTTTATTCCAGACAAGGACACACAGGTATCCTCAATAAAAGACTAAAAGACTAGCTATAGTAAATCTAGTAGAACAGCCACTTCAATGACAATGCCATTCATATTTTGTCTTTTCTTTTTGGGGGGCAGTGAGACAGTCTTCCTATGTAGTTCAGGCTGGCTTTGACCTCATTATGTAGCCCAGCCTGGCCTCAAACTTGAGGCAATCCTCCTGCCATGCCTCCCCAGTACCGGGATTACAGGCATGTGCCACCATGCTTGGGTATTATTTTGCCTTTGACATCCTTCTTGGTAAAACTTTGCAACCAAACAACCTACCCTCTTGCCTGGAGTATATCACATTCAAGTATCCACATTATATTAAACTACATTATGTAAGCCTGGAGATTATGACCACTAAAACTTGTGAAAGAATGCCTGCATCTTACCAAAGCTCTTGGTATGTAGCATAACCCTTTAACTCGAGCTAAACTGAACTTGCTTCTTTCCAGTGAAAGCCTCACCATCTGACAGCTTCTCGCTCTGCATTCCCACAATTTTAGCAAACAAGAAGCTTCATTTACTAACTAAGAAAGAAGATTACACATTGCTATTTCTGTTGATATTCTGGTTCTTTTGCTTATACAACGTGGAAGTTTTGTCCTGAAGGAGATGGGCCACTAACTCAACAAATGACCTACTACAGAGTTAACCAGCAAGTAGCATTTGTTTAGTATCTTTCCATCTACATTCCCAAGCTGCATGTGTATGTTTTCCTTTTCTGCGCTATTCCTGTTAAGTATAGATAATCAGTTTCCCACTCATATAATGACTGTATAATTTTATTTTTTTTATGCTTTGAGACACATAAAATAGAAAATCCTCAAAATTTTGAAAACATTTAACTATAAAAACTCTAGGTCCAGAGTCATATTTTAATGATTTTTCAAGTCTAGTAGTTTTCTAATTCTTAAATCTATTGTAACTAATAATTTCTCCCATAATATAGTCTGTTGCTATGGTGTGAATGGTTATGTCCCATCAAAGGATGCTGAAATCCTAATCCCCAAGGTGAAGATATCAGGAATTGCAATCTTTGAGAAGTGAGCAGACCCTTATAGGAAATCCTAAGAAGTCTCCTACTCTTTCCATATGTGAACTTACAGTGAGAAGACAGCCCTCTATGAGGAAGAAAGGCCCTTACTACACACACACAATCTGCCAGCACCTTGACCTTGGCCTTTCAGGGCTGTATGAAGTAAACATCTGTTGTTTACAAGCTACACAGTCTATGGTGTTTTGTTATAAAAGCCCAAGTAGACTAAGACATCCATTTTATGAACTTCCAAATACCTTACTAAGCAACTACATAGTCTTCATATATATAGTGGTACTGGGGATTGAACCTAGGGCCTTGTGTATGCTATGCAAGAGCTCTACCACTGAGCTATATACTCAACTCCGTTAAAAAAATTTTTTTTTTTTTTGGTACCAGGGATTGAACTCAGGACCTTGCACTTGAGAGGCAGGTGACAGCACCACTGAGCTAAATCCCCGGCTCTCCCTAAAAATTTTTAATACCTCACATCCCCAGTACTGAAAAAAAAAATTTTAATACCCATATCACAGACAAAACTAAGAAAAGGAACCTAATAATTTTTTTCCTGGGGGTCAAACCTAGGACCTTCACACTGAGCTACAAATCCAGCCTTTTTTATTTTTAATTTTGTTTTTTTTGTTTTTTTGGTACTGGGGATCAAACTCAGGACCTTGCACTTGCGAGGCAGGCGCCGGAACCACTAAGCTAAATCCCAGGCCCTTTTATTTTTAATTTTGAGACAGGCTCTTGCTAAGTTGTTCAGGCTGGGCTTGAACTTGCCATCCTCCTGCCTGAGCCTCCCAGAATACTGGGATGACCAGTGTGCACTACTACACCCAGCTCTAACCTAACAGCTTTCTTTTTTTTAAATTTATGTTTTTATCAGTAAATGTTTGTGATATACAGTGAATATACTATGACTATAATATGGTGAGTTGATACATGTACATATCACATTTTAGCCTTTTTTACTTCCCCTTCCTCTCCCCTCCCTCTCCCCTCCCTCCTCTCTCCATTCCTTCCTAGATCCCTTTTCCATCTGCAAAAGGTCTACCTCCCTGTTTCCTATAATCCACCTTTTATTTTGCTCCTTACTTATACTTCGGGTTTCTCATATAAGAGAAACCTTGTGATTTATTTCACTTAACATTATTGATTTAAGGTACTTCCATTTTTTCTATAAATGATTTTAATTTATCCCTTTTATAGCACAGTAGAACTCTATTGTGTATAAATATCACATTTTCTTTATCCATTCATTTCTTAGTGGACATATAGACCAATTTCAAGATTGAGCTATTATAAGTTGTGCTGCTATAAACATAGGTATGCATGTATTACTGTAATATCATGTCTTTAACTCTTTTGGGAAGATACCTAGGAGGACAACAGCTCAGTCAAATGAAATTTCTATTTTCTAACAACTTTTTAAAATCTGTTTTTTACATAACATCAAAGAAAGGCTAGAGGTGCTAGCCTTAGGCAAAGAAAATGCAAAAAAGAAAAGACAGGAATTTATTTGCTGATCCCCTTTAAGCAGTCCAACACTGACAGACAAGAAGCTAGGGCAAATGGTATCCATGGAGATCTGGCAGCTACTTAGGAATTTCTAACAAGACAATTTTGACTTGTCAAAAGACTATAAGAAACTCTGATTTGAGGGGGAAAAAAGGAAGAAATTTATTTTGAAGTTACAGCTAGGACAGCAACATGCTAGCATAATTCTTTAATGATCATTTCTGAATCATTAACATGATTCTCCACCATTCTAAGTTTTCAGTTAGTTTTAAAGATTAGGAAAGAGCTAAAACAGTTCATTTTTAGGTTATTAAAGTAAGCTATTAAAATTCTTTTTCTTTTTTTACTGCTCTACATGTACTATCAGCAACCTGACTAATGTATTTCATTCCTTCAAAGGAGAGACTTAAAAGATCTCCCTAGAGATTTTATCTCAAACATGGTTATAAGGCTGAAAGAACACTTACTCACTCTGGAAAGAAGAAATAACATAGAAAGACTGAGAGAAATTTGAAAACATAGCCAAGGAATTCAGGTTTATATTTCCATGTTGCTATTCTCATGCAGCCAACATCACAAAGAATCACTCACTTAGAAGTATAAGGAACTCTGCTATTTAAACCTACCTTCCCATTAGACCAGCCAGTTATCAGTTCACACACTCCATCAGAATTAAGGTCAAACGCATGAATGCTCATGGCATGATTTTTGGACTGAAAAAGAATTCCAATAATTAGTACAGAAGTCCCTCAATAACGGAAAAATAAAATCCCTGAATAGAAGAGGCTGAACCATACTAACTTTAATTCTCCAGGATCGAGCCATTTTGTCATAAACTCCAACTGTGCCATTGGAAAGGGCATACCCAAATCGGCTGCCATACATGGGGCACAGAGAGGTGATTATCTGCAAAAATAACACAGAAAAACACATCTTTTCATTAGGGCTCAATTTAATGTGACATATAGCTTTAGAAAATCACAAGCCTTTCTACAACTGTGTTAAAATTAGATGTAAAAGCATTTCCAACCCAATAGTGGAGAATGTATTTCTCTTCCATGTCATCTATTTCAGAGTTGGATAAGATCTTTAAAAATTCACAAACTTTGGTGTTTTAGATCAAGCTTATGAAGCATGTTCAGAAAATTACTTTAGAAGAATCACAATAAAACAGGATTAGGGAGGAAAATACTGAGTATTCAAGATCTAGAATATGTACAACAGGAGTTACTATATACACTAACTCAAATGATTTTAATGATTATTTCAGTTTCCTTAATTTATAATATCTTAGATTCTAAATTTTAAAAAGAATTATAATCTAGGATTAACTAACTTTTAAGTGTACATTTTTTCTATGACATAATTTATTGTTTGCTAAAGGTAAAAAAATAAAAAAGAAAGCATCATCCTTTCAAAACTGAAAACCCAAACACATGGATTTGTGTGGTATGTAACAATATAAAGAATGCATGTATTATATAGAAATATCAATAGGATTATGAAATTATTTAATAACCTTAAAAGGATAATATTTTAGATACTGAACAAAATTATTCTTAAAAGTTAAAGCCAAAACTTAATGATATCTGTGATCCTACAGATCTATTTTCTAATTCTGGCCCTATACAAGAGATATTAAGAAATAAATTGTATAAAGCAGAGAATAGTTATATAATTTCCTTTACACCTACTGCATTTCTACAAAACTACCCACTTAACTCTGAATACAAAGTGCTGTGTAGGATTCCAGAATTATTTAACTCAAGTATTCTTCTGGCAATACTTAGTACCGTTCAACTGCCAAATGAATCAAGAGTTTGCTCACCTGGGAAAAGAAATTTGAGCTAGGGGCAAAACCAAAATTGCCCTGCATATGAAGTTTTATAAAGTGTGTATTTTCATAAATTTAGCCTCATATTCCCCAGGTCCCTTAGGGTTTCCTTAGTTAATTCAGTTCTTTCTTTTGTACACTACAAGAGGAACAAGTTCCCTCTAATACTTAACTGTATCTCATGTTCTCCTCGCTCTTTCGAGGATTTAGGGAAAAAAAGTGTTTCCAAAAAAATGCACTCTCCTAACATCTAAAATTGACTTAAAAAATAAATTTAAAAAATCATATTTACTATATATTTACTATAAATTAGAAGGAAAGGACTGGGTGTGGTGGTGCCCACCTGTAATCCCAACTCTTGGGAGGCTGAGGCAGAGTCCAAGACCAGCCTGGGTGGGCTACATAATGAGTTCAAGGCAAGCCTGAACTACATAGTGAGAGTCTTATCTTTAAAAAAAAATTAAAATGAAAGACATATGATAATGTAGGATACAGCACTTATACTCTATTATGAAGTTGGGGTTTTTTGGGGGGTGGGGTGGGAAAGAGCCAAAAACCTCTTTAAGAACCTAATCAAAGCTGAAGACACTCTTTCTGGAAAAGCACATAAAACAAAACCCCATATACAGACATATATCTTTACACTACTGCTTTTGGCATTCATTTATCTCCTTTATTTCCTCTCTATCCACAGCTGTCATTTTACATTATAATAACTGTGAATATATAAAAAGTACAAAGTAAAATGGGTGTGGTAGTGCACCCCTATAATCCCAGTGCTTGGAAGGTTTAGGCAGGAGGATTGTTGCCAAGTTTGAGGCCAGCCTGAACTACATAGCAAGACTGTCTCAGAAAAACAAAAAAAAAGATAGATAGATAGACAGACAAATAGTAGACTAAGTAAAAATTCAGTTCTTAGGGCCGGGGATTTAGCTCAGTGGTTCTGCCACCTGCCTCGCAAGTGCAAGGACCCAAGTTCGATCCCCAGTACCAAAAGCAAACAAACAAACAAAAAAATTCAGTTTTTATTCTAAAACCATCCAGCATGCTCACACAATGTTATATTTGCTGTGCCACTCTTTTTTTTATATTTTTTGGTACCAAGGATTGAACTCGGGTCCTTGGGCTCATGCAGCAGGCGGTGAAACCACTGAGCTAAATCCCCAGCCCTGTGCCACTCTATCTTCCTGAGGTTATCCTAACTCTAGGGTGGTACTTCTTACCTCTGTTTCTGTCATTTCTGTCACAATCTCATCTTCTTTAAAAATGCGAATGTCAAAATCCTCAGATCCAACAAGAAGCTAAAAGGGGAGAAATCACAAATATCTAGTTTAATAAGTAAACAGCAAATTTCCATAAATAAAACAAAAAAATTGCACAGTACTTTGCTCCAACTGCCACTCAAGAGTTCCTATTTTCCAATAATCCAGCGCTCAGGAAGGGCCCCTTTAATTGCAGGATCAAGAGATTCAGTCAGTGAAGAGAAAGCTTTTATTCTGCCATGCAGAGTGCACATCTTGCCAGATTATTTTCTTTCACTGTATACCTGAAAATGCTCCCTAGTTCAGTAACTTTCCCCACCTGCAGATGGAAGCCCTACTTCAGACACCAGTGCCCAGAGCTAATTTCCAGAGTAATTATTAGAATTAATTTCAAAAAGCTAAAGGATGATCACTAAAACTTTTAAATTCCTAAGAAAAAAATAGGCCAAAATGGAAATGATTTACAAATATGTTTCAAAGGATCAGAAGTAATTTACAAGATTATAAATATGACTGAAGTTCCATAAACCTTCTCTCCTCTCTTTGAAACTTTGTGGCCTACTTGTTTATATTAGACAAAAAGAAGTTATTTATTGTTCGAAAGAGAGGAGATATCAGAACTAATAAATATTTCAATTAGCTGATCAAAGTCAAATGTGGCCAATTAGTCATCATTTAGGTACCAAAGCTTCAAAATCAGCATGAGAAACTAATACTTCTCTCAACACTAACACAGCTGAACACACCACAGAGGCATCACCTTCCCCACATACCTCTTTCTTCCCATCACCGTCAAAGTCACACAAAGCCAAGGAATGAACTCTGTCTCCAGTAACCTGGAAATAAAAGTCACAAGTCAGTACTTCTATTTAATCCAAATATATCAGCTACATGAAGAGAGGGATTTACAAGCAGCCAATAAGTTATTTGAATTATTCATATTCTTTTTTAATGTACAGAATTGTAAATATTATTGTTTTTATTATTTAATATAGACAGTAAGCTTTAAAATATTCTAAAGAAAATTACAACTACTAAAGACTACCAAAAAGAATGTTTTGTTCTTCATACCGTCCAAAAGAGATCATTTCCTTCATGATCGAAACCCTGCAGAACACAGTTTCCACCAATAATTGCAAGAGGGGAGGCCACGTCTCCCAACATCCCCAGCACAATGGCATTTGCCCCATCTGCTACCTAAGAAGCAAAAGAAACACAATCTCAGACACAGTGATGGCCAGGCACACTGAAGGTAATGTGGATCTGCCTTTTCATTTGTATCCTCAACCTCCTGTTAAGATTTGTGAGAAGCCACATGGACTCCTGGGAGGCAGCCAAGGCTGTCCATCGAAGCCATCACTGTGGCTTCTGCAAGGATATGGGCAGATCCGTGGTAAACTCAAAGTCTTAGCTCTCACACTCAGCTGATCCAATATGCTGCTATGATAATATGGGGCTCTCCAGGGCCACCAAGTACTAGGGGCCAAATTTTCCAGAGAATCAAAATATATATATGCCTTTCACCAGGCATGGTGGTACACACCAGTAAACCCAGCACTAGGGAGGCTGAGGCAGGAGGACTTCAAGGGTAGCCTGGGCTATATATATAGTGAGTTCAAGGCCAGCCTGAACTATATAGTGAGACTTGTCTAAAAAAAAAAAAAAAGAAAAAGATGTATGCCTTTAAAAACTCAAATTTTATCATTTATTTTAACCATTTGGGGATGCAAATATTTTTAATATTACTAACCAATTCTCTATTACTCTTCTTAATGTTAAAGTTACTAAAAAGTATAAAGAATAAAACAAATACCCTCTTGTCCTAGCATCCAGAATAAATATCTCAGACTTCTTTAATATATTATAAAAGCATACATAATTTACTTATGGGAGATTCAAGGACACTTTGTAAATACTGTTTATTATACAGCAATATAATCCTTATTTATATAAATATATTGGGGGGGGGTACCGGGGATTGAACTCAGGACCTTGCGCTTGCAAGGTGGGCAGCGGCACCACTGAGCTAAATCCCCTGGCTAATCCTTATTATTCTTAGGAAAAATATAAAGAAAAGATTGACTATAAAGGAAACAAAGACATCATAAGAAATTAAAACTATTAAATAGCTAGTCAACCAAAACATAAAAGGTAACCAAAGAACTTAGAAAAAAACCCCTGCAATATATAAGGCAAATAAACAAGAAAAGAACACCCCAGCTCCTCAAAAAGAAATTCACAAGAAATGCAAACAGCCAAAAAACAAAAAATGTTCACTCTCCCAATATATAATTTTTCACTTTTCAATAAGCATGATGAAAAAGAACAACATCCATTGTTAGTTAGGGTGTTATAAAACAGGCACTCTCGTATTGTAAAGAGGAGGCAGAAAAACAGTAGCTCTGCTAGAGAATAATTTATAAATATCTGTCATAAATGTCATCTAAAAATGGTTTTTGACTTAGCAGTTGTATTTCTTCTTTTCTTATATTTCTTATTTAAGTCTTCTTTAATTTGTTCTGACTAACAATTGCAAAACTGAGCCCTTGTGACACTAATTTTATGTATCAACCTGGCTAGACCCCACTACCCAGATATTTGGTCAAACATTATTCTCGTTGTTACTGTGAGGATATTTTTTAGAGGAGATTAACATTTAAATCAGTAGACTAAGTAAAGCATATTATTCACCATAATGTGAGTGAGCCCCAACCATTCACAGGAAAAAGACTGATCTCCTCCAAGGAAGGAGGGATTCTGCCAGCTGGCTGCTTTCAGACATCAGGTTCAACATCAACTTTTTCCCAAGTCTCCAGCCTGTTGGCCCCCCTGCGGATTTTGGACTTGCCAGCTACCACAATCATGTAAAGCAATTCCTTAAGTACCTGCTCCCACCATATATATATATATATATATATATATATATTATTGGTCCTGTTTCTCTGGAGAACCTGATGAATGCACTCCTAAACTCAAATTCAGTCCTCAATGAAAATGTAGGATTCTGTGACCTTGAAATAGGCAAGGACTTCTCAGAAGGATAGGAAAAGCATTAATCATTAAATATTGATCAGCTGGACTTATTCAAAATTGAAGTCTTCTCATCAAGACACCTACCTACTGGAATAAATTATGGATCAGGAAAAGAATGTTTCTTATATGGAACTTACATCCAGTATATCCACAGGATGTCTACAAATCAATAAGAAAGTGGGAAACTATCAATGAAAAATAGGTAGAAGTCATAAACACTTCAGAAAAGACAAAAGAGGACAAGAAGCACAAGAAAAAGTGCTATATATCACTGGTCATCAGGGAAATAGAAAATAAAACCATAGTAAGATACCAATTCACACCTACTAAAATGACTAAAATTACAAAGCATGGGACTGGGGATGTAGCTCAGTGGTGCTGCACCTGCCTGCCTGGCAAGGTCCTGAGTTCAACCCCCGTACCAAAAAAAAAAAAAAAGCCAGGCATAGTGGTGCTCACCTGTAATCCCACCACTCAGGAGGCTAAGGCAGAAGGATTGCAGCAAGTTTGAGGTCTGCCTGGGCTATATAGTGAGTTCAAGGCCAGCCTGAACTACATGTTGAGACCCTGGCTCAAAAAAAAGCATGGTGATACACACTTGTAATCTCAGCACTCTGGAAGGCTGAGACAAAAGGACTGAAAGTTCTAACCCAGCCTGGGAAACTTAGCAACTTAGCAAGTCCCTGTCTCAAAATAAAAAATAAAAAAGGACTGAGGGACTGAGGGTATAGCTCAGTGTGAAGGTCCTGGGTTCAATCTCCAGTACCAAGGGGAAAAAGCCTGATAACATCAAATGTTCACAAAGAATGTGCAGCAAATTAGATTCTCAACACTGCTGGTATGATAGGAGTATCAAATGCTACAACCACTTTAGAAAACAGTTTGCCAGTTTCCTATAAAAATAATTTTTTAAAAAAGGTAATCATACATCTACTATACAGCCCAGCAGTTCTACTCCTTGGTATTTATCCAAGACAAATTAAAACATATATTTACAAAAAGCCTTGTACATAAATGTTTATAGAAATTTTATTCATAATTGCCCCAAATTAAAAGAATTAAAATATCCATCCCAACTGCCTATTACCAATAAGATAAACACACAGGGGTATATTCATGCAATAGAATATACTATGTTTGTTACTGAGCAACAAAAAAGGAATATTGCTATATGCAACAGGGAAAACTCTCACAGATATTATCTTGAGTGAAAGAAGCCAGATACCAACAAGTACACTCTGTATGATTCCATTTATATGAAGTTTAAGAACAAGAAAAGCTAATGTAAGCTGACAGAAATCAGAAAAGTGATTGTCTATAGGAAATAGGACTTGATTGGAATGAGGCACAATATTTTCTGAAGTAACAAATGCTCTGTATTTTAACTGAAAGTGCTGGTTATAGGGATCAAAACTCACTAAATTAGGGCCGGGGATTTAGCTCTGTGGTTCTGCCACCTGCCTTGCAAGCACAAGGTTCCAAGTTCGATCCCCAGTACAAAAAATAAAATAAAATAAAAAACACTGAATTGTACACTTAAGGTTTGTGCAACCCACTATATGTACACTTTATCTCAAAAGACAAAAAAAAACCACCAAAAAGGCATCTGCATATCTAGGAACTTATCCCTGGGAAATAATCAGAAAAATGGCATGATGTATGTTTACTGCAGTATCAACTATAAAAGAGAACCTGAAATGATATAAATCTTCAATAATATTGTATTGGTGAAACAAATTAATATATAAATGCAATGAAATACTACAGAAACAATAATAATGATATATAGATACACATTATCTTCATATAAAGATGTTCAGAACATATTAGTAAATGAAAAGGCCACACATAATAGCTAAGAAGTAGATTGTCCATTAACTCTTAAATGGATAAATAAAATGTGGTATATATACACAATGGTACATTATTCAGCTATAAAAAGAAATGAAGTATTGATACACGCTACAACATGGATCAATATGGAAATTTTTATGCTAAGAAAAAGAAGCCGGATCAGGTGCGGTAGTAAAAGTCTGTAATCCCAGCACTTGGAGGGCAAAGGCAGGAGGATCACTGTGAGTTCGAGCCAGCCTGAACTACACAGCAAGACCTTGTCTCCACAAAAATAAAAAAAATTTAAAAACAGCCAATCACAAAAGACCATACAGTATATGATTCTATATTTATAAAATGTCTCAAACAGACAGAAAACAGATTGATTGCCTCAAGTTAGAAGGTTAAGGAAAAATGAAGACTGCCTACTATTGCAGGGTTTCTGGTTTAGTTTTTTTGTTTGTCTTTTTCTTGTGGTACTGGGGATCGAACTGGGGTCCTTGCGCTTGCGCAGCAGGTAGTGAAACCACTGAGCTAAATCCCCAGCCCTTCTGGTTTAGTTTTTGGAGATAATAAAAATGTTTAAAATTGATTATGGTGCTGGTTACAAAATTTTCTGAATAAACTAATTAACTGTGCACTTTAAATAGATAAGTTGTATGGTATGTGAATTATGTCCTTAAAAATATTACAGGGGGCTGGGGATTTAGCTCAGTGGTTTTGCCATCTGCTGCCCAAGTGCAAGGACCTGAGTTCGATCACTGGTTCCAAAAAAAAAAAAATTATTACAGGAAAAATAAGCTAAAAGGCTACATGTACATAGTAAAAAAGAAAAAATTTGGGCAGGGGATGTAGTTCAGTGGTGCCGTGCCTGCCTGGCAAGCACAAGGTCCTGAGTTTGATTCCCAGTACCGAAAAAAAAAAAAAAATTATTTACATATACTTAGTAAAAAAACCCAGGAAAAAAATTCAAGAATTTAAGAGATAATTATTATAAATTACTAAAGAATTAATTATTATTGTACTTTTTTTTTTTTGCTTCCCTATCTTTTTCTATAACAAATATGAATTACTTGGTTAATAAAGCTGCAGCAGCCTATAGATGGCAGGCTATGGTAAGGGGTTCTTTAACATACCACTAAACTTCAATGCAAGGCCACCAAGAAGAACTGCGCTGGCTTCCCAGACCCTAGCTGAATTCTCAATAGGAGACTCTGATAGAAGATGGCATCATACACGAGGTGATCAAGATGTGCATTTGAAATTTTTTAAAAATGTGTTACAGTAAAAGATGCATTGCTATTAATCCCCTTCAGAATACTCCCATCCATTCAAACCCACTTGACTCTCATCCTTCTTGCCACTTTCTGAAGCAGTTCTGGAAATCCTTTTCAAGAGTGTCTTTAGTTGTGCCTATCACATTATGTCCTGAATCAATTTAAAATGTTTACCTTTCGTGGTCATTTTGACTTTGAGGAAGAGCTAGAAGTCACATGGTGCCAGACCCAATGAATAAGGTGGATAAGGACACACTACAATGCTTTTGAGACACTACCTTTCTTCTGGATGGCACTCAGCAGCAGTACCTCCTGAAGACACTCACAAAAGAGAACTTCCAGAATTGTTTCCGAAAGTGGCAAGAATGATGGGATAGGTTTGTCCAAAGTAAGTGGGGGTACTTAGAGTGTGATTAACAATAATGTATCTTTTACTATAAAAAATTTTTCAAGATTTAAACATTCACCATATATTTTTCAATTGCCCCTCATGGATGAGGTGCAGTGTTAGCAAGTGATTACCAGCCATGACCAAATATAAAAGTTTCAACTACATAAAGCAGATGCAAATGGTAAACACTCCGCATTGTTTAATTACACTGTAATGGCCACATAATAAAGCAAGATAAATAGTGACCTCTTTCAAGCATAAAAAAACTGGACATTAACAAGTAATGGGAATTTTATGGTTGTAATGGGGGTATACTTGCCTCTCTGTAGAACAAATCTGAATTATTGTAGACATCATAAGCCAAAAGATTAGTCTGGGTCCCCACTAGAAGAGCATCATGGCCAAGTTCAGGGCTCAGTACTCCTGCAGTCAGGCAGCTGACTGCCTGGTTAATGTTCAGAAGAGAAACATCAGATTCCAGCGGGCTCTGGGAGATTCTGGATGCACTGAAAAACTGGCTTCGTGTATGAGGATTATGAATAAAAACCTAAAATAAAAACAGTTAATGGCACTGCCTTAAAATATCAAAAATGACAAATTAACATATTTTTTACTGCAAAAAACAGGTTAAAACAAATGTCAACATTAACAAGAAATTAATCTCTTATGATGCTTAAGACGCTCACAGACAGTTCTGTGCATGGTCAATTTTCAGTCATTATGAAGTATGGAAACCCCAGTGATAAAGAACAAGGTTATGAATAAGATCTAATTGTTGCTTACCAGGGAACCTTACACGCTATCACCGGCAGGATGTCAAAGTACTCCTGCAAATCCACCTCTTCATCAACCCATAGGAAAGGAAGCTGCTAACAGCTTCAACAGTGTCACACACCAAGATCACAGGAAACAGAACAGACACTGCCTTTTGTGTCTTTTGTCCACTAAATTTACTTCTCAACCCGAAACAGCCTAGTAGTTGGTAAATATTTTACAAACTTAAAACATGTCATACCAATCAAGTTTCTTGAAGACTTTTCATGGTCTATACTTGTAAGACAAATAATTAGTCCAAAGACAATAAATTCAACAGTTTCAACTATCATAAACATAATTATCTGAGAGACTAAATAAATCATTCAACTTCCTTGGGCTTCACTTGTGAAAAGAAGGTTCGGACTAGAAAATGTATTCTTTTTGTTTGTTTGGTTTTGGTTTGGGCAGACAGGATCTTGCTATGTAGTTCAGGCTGGCCTTGAATATGGCCTCTGCAATTCTCCTGCCTCAGTCTCCCAAGTGCTAAGATTATAGGTATGCACCACTCATGTCCAGCTTAGAAAATGCATTCTTAAGAAGGGTGATACAGTACTGCTCCTAAGAAGGGTAAACAGGTTTGGGATGGAGAGCTCTTAAATATTAGAATGGCTTGTGGTATCTAAAGGCTACAAAACAGCACAAAATAAGATATACAGCATATGTGTATTATTAAAATTTCAATGGGATAATTTTCATTATCTAAAAAAGGCTCCACAAGGCCAATATGAAAAAAAAGATAGAGAACACTGAACTAGAGATCCTTTAGGCCCCTTCTACCTGTAAAATTTTGCTAATTTTAAATGAGTATAAATCCAAATTGTACTAATTTTAAATTATTACCTAACACAGTGACCTATTCAACAAAAAATAATTTTCAAAATAATTAATTAGAAACATGCAGAAAATGTGTGCAGCTACTGAATGCTGCCTTCATGTTCTCATTTGTGTGACAGTGTACAACATTCTTTCATAAATATAAACTTCACTTGATCCCATACCAACCTGATGCACAGATGAGGCCAGAGGCGTTAAGACCCTTTCCAAGGTCTGAAGACTGGGATGGGGATAAAACATAAAGCCTCGCGTGCCTAAGACCCTGGGCTCTGGCCACCAAATCACACGTTCTTTTATAACGGTTCCAAAAAAACCATTCTTACAGTCTTCTAATAATCAGATATACTGAGAAAGAACAGGAGGGGAAATAACTTATGGGCCCCACATTCAGGGTTACCAGAATGGAAATGTGATTTTTGCCAAGAGCAACATGAATCTCAGGAGTCAGACTCCTCCCTTCCTCGTCCCCTGCTGTTCTCTGCATACCAAAATAAGAGTTCCCCAGGGAGACCTAGCTGTCCCTCCCAGGCAAAGAAAAAGCAAAGTTCAGTTACATAACAAATGGAGCACTCCTCTGCCTATTTTTTAGACTCCTTCTAAACGGCTGCCTGTAGCTCACCTAGCATTTGTTCTAGCTAAAGGGGTGCTGCTAACAATGTAAATTCAGCTGCTCCCAGGCTCCATGCTGAGGGGAAAAGTGTTCCCATAGAAAAACACTAATGTTCACCATGCAAGATATCCCTTTCTAAAATATCTTTTTTCAGGCCCAGAGTCAGGGTCCCAGATGAAATGACAAAGGTCTGCTTTTAGAGATGCAGGCACCACAGGTCAAAGAGTAGGCTTTGGCCTTACCTGGAATGTTTCTTTTTAAAGAAGAACATATTTATCTATTAGAACATGAAGTGCTCTCAATTTTTTTCAGTCTCAAGAGCAAAGATTAGGCTAGAACTCTGCAGAACTGTTTAATGACTGAACACAAAGTGCCCGATTACACAGGACCCCTTTTTTGCCATTTTCAGAAACAGTCCTAGAGTCAGGTGTTCTGTCTCCCCACTCTAGGTCACGCTCTGATGTAAGAGCTTCCATAGAAACCTGACCTGATTCCCTGCTTCCACTCCCACACCCACCTCCCTGCATCCCACTGCAGTGCATCCCCCACACAGCAGTGATGGTTCCTTTATCTAATACACAAAGCAAATCCCATCACTCACTGTATCAAAACCCTCAGTGACCTCCCAACATATGTATGCCTACAAGATCTGGCCCTGGCTATCTCATGGCCTGCATCATTCCATCCCAGCCCCAGAGACTCCTTGTGTTCTGGAACACAACAAAGCCTTTACATTTCCTGATCCCTCTGCCTGCAAGGCACTCATCCCAAGAACCTGCAGAGTTCATGTGGCTATTTCTTCTCCCATCAAAAATAATTGTTTTGGGCTGGGGATTTAGCTCAGTGGTTCTGCCGCCTGCTACGCAAGCGCAAGGACCCGAGTTTGATCCCCGATACCAAAAAAAAAATTGTTTTGATTCAGGGTCTTGCTATGTAGTTCAGACTGGCCTTGAACTCACAAAGTAGCCCAAACTGGCCTCCGACTCACAGCAATCCTCCTGCCTCGGGCTCCCCATTGATGGGATTACAGGCATGCACCATCATGCTCAGCTTCCTTCAAAATTCTGATTGTGGTATGAGAGGCCTGTCAAAAATAGCAAGTCTCCATCATCCCCCTCCCCTTACTTCCTTTTTTTTTCTCCTATAGAGATAGATAGATTGATGTTTCTGGTAATTGTCTGGCTCCCCCTCTCAAATGTTACCTCCAAAGGGGAGAGACTTGTCTGTCACAATCACCACTGCACCTGAAGAGCTAAGAACATTGCCCAGCACAATGATAAGCCCTCAAATTAGGAGCTGAACTAACAGCAATGGGATATTTCGTATCTGTTATGCACCTACAACAGAACCAATATGAATTTCTTTTTGGCATTTGTCAGGGCCACCAACTAACATTATTAGGTACCAGACCCCATGCTAAATAAGCACTTTACTCCACTATACTATACTTAATTAAAATGAATCATCACTTTTTAATTTGTGTATCCCAAGGCATAGAATATGAAGTAATATGGTCCAGAGAACTATACATCATCACGCAAACACTAGCTATGAAATGCACCTTAGGTTGGAGAACAAGCAAGCACTGTAATCCCATTTCAACTCCTCTCCAGTTGAGTGGCCTCAGGTACTACTTTGAATCTCTCTGAACAGTTTCTAATCAGTAAAGTGGGAACACAAAAAGGAAATAATGGCTAATAATTAGTGACCACTTTCAATATGCCAAATGCTTTACATGTATCGTCTAATCCTTATTTCTTCTTTTTTTTTTTTGGTACCGGGGATTGAACTCGGGTCCTTGCGCTTGCACAGCAGGCTGCAAAACCACTGAGCTAAATCCCCGGCCCTGTATTGTCTAATCCTAACAACCCTAAAGTGGATACTATAATTTAGTAACTTGCCAAAGGTCATGAAATTAGTAGGTAATGGAGCCAGGATCACCCACACTTTGAGGGCAATGCTACTGCCCTCAAAGTAAAGATGCTAAGATAATTAATGTAATAAGGCTTTGTACCTGTTAAACATTATTACCCTTGGAGTCACTGTATTTTGGGCATATTTCCATCAATATATAGGGCCAACATATGTGGAATAACAGTATCTTTTTTAAAATCTCTGTGACCCTTATAGTACAGAAAGGATCTGGAACACAGTAAGCATTTAATACTTACCAAATTAAGAGGAAAAACTTGAATGTGCATAGTCAAGGACCAAAAGTGCAATTTGAGGGCCAGGGATGCAGCTCAGTCATAAGAATGCTTGCCTAGAATGTGAGAGGCCAAGTTTGATCCCCTGCAACACACACACACACACACACACACACACACACAAACACACACTTTAATGGGGGGGGGGTTGTAGTCTTTTATCTGTAAAGGATGTGAGAGAGGAAGGAGTTCCAAATGACAAGCAGAGAGGCACTGGGCTGGAATCTGAGGTCGGCTATTACTGCTAATCCCAGCCAAGCCCCTTCTTCCTTTACGAAGACTTCTCTTCCTAAGCTCCTTATCTGTCCTGGACTTCAACAATGTCCCAAAGTGCCTAACGATAAGAATCCAAACTAATGTAATCATTATGTACTACAAACATGTACTGATTTTTAAAAAGCAAGTGGGAAGGAAGGAAGGAAGGAAAGAAGAGAAATGAAAAGAAAGAAGCCAAACTTCTCAGAAAAGCTGTGGGAGGATAAAGAGGTACAGAGAAATCGCCCCAGCGGTTGCCAAGCAACCTGGGCTGGAGGCGGAGTCGGAGTGAGGGGAGGGACCACAGGGATGCTGCCCGGGGAGGTCCTGAGTCCCCAGGGTCCGGGCTGTGTGCGAGTGGGAGCGGTTACCTTGCCCGCTTGGGTGGCGGCAGCCAGGCACGGGTGAGTCCCGTCGTAGCGCCCTATGGCCACCATGCGAGGGCTGATTTTGTGGCGCAGTTTCAGGGTAAATACAGGCAGCAACATGATGGCAGCGTCTCAGGGAAGGACTGGCACCCAATGCAGGCGGGGCGGAGCCTGGGTGAAGCGCACAAAGATAAGGCCCTCCCGGGCCCTGCTGCCTCTGCCCTGCCGAAATACCACGGAACACTAATAAACCCGTCTCGCCGGCTCTTTCTGCGACTGCGCAGACCCGCCCAGGTCCTTCTGCGGCTGTGCAATCCCCGCCCATCTTCTTTTGCGGCTGCGCCTGATGCTGCAGAGCGTAGATGAAGTTGTAGTTCTCCTGGTGTTCGCATCTCCCTGTTTTTTGCTGTAATTTATCTGGCTGAGATTCAACTCCACCCCAGAGACTAGGTTGGCCTTGCCTGAGACAATGCACCCTCAAATTTCCTCTTCTAGCATAACAGTCAAGCTGCACCTCTGCAAACACACACACTCCTACCCTCCTCCAGAAGGTTATTAATTCAAAAAATATTTTTGAGTGCATTCTGTATTCATTGCTTTATTGTTATAACAAAGCAAGCCGCAGCAGTTACCCGCACAAAGTACTGTATACCAGTCTGCTCAAGAAGTGGGGGAGGTGCTTCAAACTCAGGTTTAAATAGGCTGAGCCGAGGAATGCAACTTTACTTGGAAAAACAGGCTTTATAGATGAAATAAATTAAAGAGCTTAAAATAAAATCATAGTGGGTCAGAGTGGGCTCTTAAGTCCAATGGGAAATTGATAGAGGGAAAATAAGTGTAACTCTCAACCTGCTAGATGTGAGATATGCCGAGTTTCTGTTCCCCCAAATCAAAGAATAAATTCTAAGAAACAACAGGTTAAGGGTAGGAAATATTTATTGAGAGAGATGGCTTCTGAGAGACAGGAGGGGACCCAAAAGTGGGTTGCCAATGAGCCCACTTCTCAAAGGAAGTTTTATAAAACAAAATCACAAGGTGGGTGCAACATTAGTCAAAACTATGATCAACCATAGCCGCTTAGGTAATATTGATCTAATGGAAGCAGGTCACATAGCAAGTGTACATGGAAAGAATAAGGACGTTTTAGGAAGAGATGAATCAGAGGTCCTGATTGACAGACTGATGTTTGATGGACTTGGTAACTGATATTTAGCTAGACTTTATGGACCAGGTGGTACCAATTATAGTATATTGCTTATCCCTTGGGGAGGCCTGTAGGCCTAGTCATTCTGCCTTTATCTTGAGGCCTGGCCTTCAACAGATGCACCTCCAGCCACAGTTGTAATGTGTTCTCATCCTCTGCACTGACTCCCCCTAGGGCCTAGCCCTGTCTGACTATAATATTTCTACCTAACATAGCTGTCTGTAATGAAATGACCTTATAAGACACGGAAAAAGAGGCCATTGTCAGAGATTGGAATCATGCTACCAGAAATCAATGCCTGAGGGCACCAGAAGCTTGAAAGATACAAGGAAGAATTCTTCCCTAGAGCCTCAGAGAAAGCATAAGGCTATCAACATCTTGATCTCTGACTTCTGGTTTACAGAACTTTGTTTACAGAACGGTGTAACTTTGTGAGAGAATACTTTTCTATTGTTTTAAACCATAAATAAATAGGGACTTGAGACTTATAAGACTATCTGTACATTTTAAAATGTACACTTGCAAAATCCAAAAGTTGTGACCATTCATTCAGTGAGTATTTTTTTTTTTTGGTACCGGGGATCGAACTCAGGACCTTACACTTGTGAGGCAGGCGGCGGAACCATTGAGCTAAATCCCCAGCCCTCAGCGAGTATTTTTTGAGGGTATACTGTCTGCCAGGAACTCTTCCAAATCATAAATAGTAAACAAAAGATAAACCTGTTTTGTCCTGGAACTGACATGCTAGTCAGAGGAAATAAGCACTAAACAAGAAGTTCATAGTCTTGGTGGAAAGCACTATACAGAAGATTAAGACAAAGACAATGATTGGAGGGAGCAGAGTTTTAAATAAAGTGGCAGAGAAGATATCTCACCTAGAAAGTGACATGCAGACAAGGATTTGCAGCAGCCTAAAGGGAGAGTGTTCTAGCAGAGAACATTCAGGTGCAAATACCCTGACAGTTCACTGGCTCGCTCCAGCCACTTTCTGGAAACGGAAGTTTAGAGGTGAGTGCTGGGGTGAGCAGCAAGCACCAGAAGAGACCGAGAAGGAGCAGTGACAGTGAGAAAATAAAAGAGTGCAGTGTCTGGGAAGCCAAGTGAAGAGAGGATTGCCAGGAGGAGGGTAGATATCGCACATAAGTCTTTAGAGATGAGTTCTAAAATATTCTCAATATTCACATTTTGTAATGACGATCAATGACCATCTTTACACAAATGTGCATCTTTTATCAAGCATTTTGGTGTTGTCTGACTATATGAAACCTCTTTTGAAGAAAATATCAAAAAACTAAATTTAAAAAAAATAAAAATTAAAAAAAATTAAAAAATTTTTAAAAATTTTAAAAAATTAAATTTGAGGGTCCGGATGGAAGACCAGACCTGAGCCAGTGAACCCCAATATCCCTCTGATAGAGCATGCCTCTGTATTCCCCCAGCCACTTTCTGCTCCATCCCTACTCCCACACTTGTTGCCTCTCTAGAACCCACAGTCCTTTGCCACCTCTGTGATCAGCTCTGTAATAAACATTGCCTCGGGTCTGTCCTTCTGCCCTTGGCCATCAGAAGGACATCTGTTTGACAAAGTCCCTTCTCTTCAGTCCATAGGCTGACCCTGCATGAAATGCTCAGTTCTCTGAATCCACTGCATTGTGCTAATTGCTGATCACAGCTTGATAGGCTACCTCTGCCACGAACAGCTTAGAAGGAATGAATCTCTAATAGAGACCACTTCGGGCCCTTCATTTTTCTGGCAAACATTTATTGAGGGTCTCCAGTTCAAGGACCCAGGGATACAAGGTGAACAAGAAAGATACAATCTGTTCCCTTCTACAAGTCACATCCAATAGGGGATAGGAAGCAATAAAACAGGAGAGCAAGTAAAGTCATTTTATCTGACCATAAGGTCAACATGCTGGGGTTCAGGGAAGGCCTCTCAGAGGAAATGACATTTGAAATAAGAACTATATGACACCAAAGTGCAGCCACTAGAAGATGTGTCAGAAGGGCATTCCAGATTGAGGCACAGCAAGAGCAAAGGGCTAGGGTGAACATATTTGAAGATTAGAAGAAAACATGGCTGGAGACCAGTGTGAGAAACAGAAAAGTCAGCTAGGGCCAGATTACCCAGCACTTGTGAGCCAAACCAAGGAGCTTGGGTTTTACTTTTTAGCAAGCAGACAAGTCTGTGAACCATTAGATTTCTGAATAAGGCTGGTCTTGGCTCCCATCCTCCTGGCCAAGCCTCACCTACACTAGGTGCTGCCTTGGTGGTCTGCCACCTAATTACTCTTCCTAACAGGACATTATAGTCAGCAGCAACAGCACTAACATTTATTGAGCATTTTCTAGGTGACATTTAAGTACTTTATATATATATGGATCATTTCACCTAATCCTAGTAGAGCCCTATGGAGGTAGGTACTATTGTTATCCCATTTTATAGATGGAAAAATTTTAGCATCATCACCTCCTCTCTCTATATATAAGTCTTCATTGGTTCCCTATTTTCAACCAAAGAAAGTCCAAGCTCTTTAACAGATTACACAAAGATTTCCAAACTTCCACCTCCTCTGCAGTCTCTGTTTCTTCTTGCCTCAAACCCTCTCCCTTCTCAGATGCTGTTTTGAGCTTCCTCTTTACATCATGCCTCTCTCTGGAAAGTCCTTCCTCTCACTTCATATCATCCTTGCATCTTTGAAGACTTGGGGTTAGATATCACCACTCCAGGGAGTCTTGTCTGATGGCGTCTGTTACAGAACTGTTGTTACCACACTTAGTAGGTAGCCATACTTCCTCTGTGCCTTTATCAGCTCTCCAGCAATTGTACTAATTCCCACCTTGAGAGTACTTGAGCTTTGGGGGCACAGTTCTAATAAGTATTGGCAAGGCTCCCCTCAAAATAGGGTACACCTCATTCTCCCTACCAAGAACCAAGCCAGGCAGGGGACTTAGAGCTTTCCTCCAAGGAAAAAGGCCCAGTGCTGGCCCTGTCCACTAGCAGTTCTAGAGTCTTCTCTGTCTCCCATGACTCACTAGGAATCATGGGCTCATCAGAGGAGACACTTGTCATCCTCATGTCACTGACAGCTCGAGCTCCTGAGGACCTAGGACTTTTGGGGAAGAGGGGCTGGGAGCTAGTGGGCTGTAGAGAGACAACATTACATAGTGATGAACCTGTGATCCTCAACAGCATGCAGACCTGTTTTCATTCCTCCTTGTCAGTCACTAGCTGAGACATAGGCCCAGTACTTAATCTGAGCACCCAGGCACTTAGCATGCCATAACTCACTAATCCTCACAACCACTCTCAGAGGGTGGCACTGTCATTATTCCTGTTTTACTAGAAAGAAAACTGAGTCATGGAGGTTCTGTAACATAAGCCTAAAATCACAGAGCTGACAAGTAGTAGAATTAGCATGGCAAACCTAGGCATTCAGGCTCTAGAGCTGGAGCTCCTAACCATTGCAGAGTCCTGCTTACTGCAGTGAACTTCTAAATGAGGTGCAGTGTCCTCAACTAGAAAAAGAAACGTTAGCTGTGCCTATAATCCCAGCACTCTAGGAGGCTGAGGCAGGAGGCTGAGGCAAGTTCAAGCCCAATTTAGCAACATAGTGAGACTCTGTCTCAAAACTTTTAAAAAAGGACTAGGGACATAGCTCAGTGTGAAGGCCCTGGGTTCAATCTCTAGTACCACAGAAAAGAAAGAAAGAAAGAAGGAAGGAGAGAGAGAGAGAGAGAAAGAAAGAAAAAGAAAGGAAGGAAGGAAAAGAAAGAAAGAAAGAAAGAAAAAAAGAAAGTAAGTTAACAGTGCCACTTCTGAGGAGTGTTGTTTTAAGAATTAGATGAACTAATTAAAGTGCTTAAAGCAATGCCTGGCACTGAATAAGGGCTCCTATAAATGGTTAATAAATGGTTACTATTATTTTTATTATTATTATCATCATCATCATAGTATTATTACCACCTCTAGGTGAAAGAGCTGTCTTTGATTAAAGGTTAGGGTGGCAGTGGTAGTAAATTTGGTGGTTTTTTTCTTTTCTAGCAGGTGGTATTGTACTCTGTTTCCTCTCAGCCCTGGG